CACACACACACACACACACACCGATCCATTAAACTTTCCTCCCCAAAAGGCACAAATTCCCCCGGACAAAAATATTAAACAATGATATGCAATTAAAATCAATAAATTTACAAATGATTGATTAATAATTTATGAATATAATTCAATAATACGTTTAACCCTATTTCCAATGCAAAATTCACTAATATAAATATTAAAAACATTAAACAATACACAAATTACAAAAACAAATAAATAAATATACTGCTCACTAGATTTTTCATTAAATAATAATACAAATTGTTAAATTAATGTATAAATATGATTCAATAATACTTCTACATAACTTTGGTCCAAGTAATTCAGACTACTAGATGTAATTATTAATATTTTCCGTAATCAGTATCACAAAGTTCAGAGTAGGTCCTCCTCAATCCTTTCAGCCTGCGATCAAAGCACATTAAATTCAAATACTTAATACTTACAGGAAAATGACGGACAGCTTTAGTATCAACTTGACTGCACCCAGCGGGCAGTGATTTATATGACTGCGATCAGTAGGCGACAGACGACGGCTGGCCGGCCGGAACGTTGGCCGCAGGGGGCCGCTACCGCTGCGTGAATCCCGGACGATGCTCACGCATTATCGCTTGGTATCAGTGAGTGTGTGACACGCCTACGGTAAATGTCAGCTCTCAGTAAATTTTTAAAGTCGCTGTATTTTAATATTTGTGGGAATTAGAGTATTACCAATTATTACAAGCATTTATAATATATTATATTATATCAAATACATTTAATGTATGCAATATAATATCATTACATAACATACAAATATTTTCGTTGATAATAGCTAATACTATAATAGCCCATAATGGCTAAAACATTCTGTGATAAACCCCACAATTTACTTCCTTCATTATCTCAAATTCATAAAACAAGGTACAATCACGAGAAAAAATGTATTGTATTCCAATAAGTTAATAGATTAAATTTTCTGAGGAATTTACATAATACCTTTACGTTTCGAATCCTTTGTTTTTCGTAATCAATCATTGCATTTGGTAACTATCTCAATTTCTACGACGGATGATAACGGGTGCTAGCATAATCCTAATTTATTTCTGGCCTTCTGGGTTTAATTGAAAAAATGGTAAAAATATTTTTGCCAATAAATTAATGAGTGGAGTGTTTAAAATTCTTAAAATTACGAAAATAAGTTTCTTTTAATAATTCAAGACAAGTTTTAACAAAAAAAGAGTCGATATACCTATAAGTTATAGGTATTCTCAAACATTCTATGTTAAATTAAATGTCATTTTATGATCGTAATAAGTGTGACTACAGTCTGTGTCTAATTTATAGAGACATTATGAAATACAAATGAGTACCATAATCAGATCGAGGATTGCAACTCGACAGTTGATTGGTATAAAGTATTTAATATTTATTTGAATTATTTTGTTATTTTAAATTTTAAAATACTAAATACTAAATACATAAAATAACATTTAGTACCTATTTAAACAGAAGATACACAACACTTTAGAAAAACACCCAGTAAATACTAAATACAATATACAATTGTACTGATATACTACCCAACAATGTAAACCTATTTATGAAACTTATTATATGGATTTATAGGCTTTTCTTTCCATTTTTAGAGACTTAGGACTTTCAGTTAACCCTAACCGAAATGGTTAAAAAAGTATGATATTGTCATATACCTAATTTATTATGTTATATTTATTAAAATATAGTTTTAATCCTACTAAATGTTTTTATTAGTTAATTAGGTACCGATCTCATAGATACCATAGTACCTATTGTTTTATACAACCGATTATTGTTAATTTTCAAGTTTGATATTGTTGCCATGATTTTAATGAATAATATTTAACCCCCTCACAGTTGCGCTTATGTTCAGCCCCATTAGAAGAACAATAGGTTCGTCAGTTGTTATTTTTCAAACAATGAAGGTGGACATTTGGCGTTTTCTATAAAGTAATTGTTTAGATGGTTTAGAACATAGTCTGAAAAATCAGAAATATCAATCGGAAAAATAGACATACGCTCTGTAAATTCATGTTCAATTTGATCTGATGGTCATGAAACCAAAGATTAACGAGGAGATTTAAAACAAAATCCATTAGCCTTCAATTACTATACATTCATTATTCCTTATAGAACCGAATTTGCGGTCAACTTTCGAATCCATTTATTATAAATTATAATGTATAACTATAAGAAATATATAGATATGCTGTTCCGACAAATAGGAAATGTATGAATTTAAGACTAAATAGTAAATATTGTGACTATTTTCTATTCTTGTGTATATGACCGTAATACACATTACCTATAACGCGTCTATCATCAAAATAAATGTCATAATTTAGTATCTGAGTAGATTAGATTGTGTCAGTACATGACAACTATATGTTATGCCTCCTTATAGGTATAGCATATTACATTATTGTTTAATAATTAATATCTATAGGTATCTTTAAACTGGTTTTCAGCGATTTTAAATAGTTTTCACCTAGGCGAAACAGTTTAATAATATTTAGTTGTAGTAAATATTATAAGATTTGTTGTATAGGTATGTTAGCATGTTACTTCCCTCTCAAAGTTAGGTACAAGTCGGTTATACTCGTTACATAGGTAGTTAGGTAGGTATTCACAAGTTCACAACTTGACTCATGCATTTTTGTTTCTAGGTAACTATTTTTAATAATTTATAAGCTCGGCTAAACGATCGGTTAATTTCTCGCACAAATGCTTTTACTAGGTAAATTTTGGATCAAAAGGATTTTCATTTTTCACCCAAATGAATGATGTCCCACGAAATGTTAGTCCCCCACACCGCTTATCTAAACATATTAAGCACTCGTTCAGAATTACTACTTAATTATAAAACAATTTTCAATTATTTTCAAACAATAAAATAATAATATCATCATGTTAAAAATCTGCACTAAGTTGTTTATTTTCCCTGGTGAAAGGTAAACCTAATGCTTCAAGCGGGTTTCGTACGAGTCGTGCGACTCCACGATACTCGACCTACGATAAGTTGTTATCTCTGATGCCGGTTGTATGTTTGGAAGAATGTTTGACGTCCATCGATACCTCTAGGCCTAGACTCTACACCTATGGTGTCTTTGAATTTTTTATAGAGTTTGGAGAGGTGGCTGAAGCCATTCCGAAACTCAGAAGGAGTCTCGATTGCAGTTTGTTTTAGTGTGACTATAGTCTCAACGTCTACATCATGAGGTGCGTTTGGTTGAATTTTGGGTTCACGGATTACCCTCGTTATCTGTACCTTGGTTTGATATATTGCTGTCCGTGTTGATATCGGATAGGTTTGGTTTTTTTTAATTTGTAAGCCGTTGGGTTTCATTTTTGATCACATATGAAATACACCAAGTATTTCTGACCTTTGATCTTGATGCAGACATCATAGCAAATAAAGTGTTAATTAAAACGGCGGTATTAAGTGGTTAGCCGATAAACCGAGATGTTACGGGCTTCGTTTGGCCGACCGAGTTTAAATATGTTACTTAAATGTTTCCTCAGTTAGACGGTTGAAGAAAATGTCTGAACCGATCGAAGTGATGATAATTATAGATGGTGGTCGAGAACAAGCAAAATGTATTGACACTGCAGAAACGAAGAAAATTGGAGGTAACCGAATAAACTATACGAAACAACGTGACTGATGTTGAGCGATCGTCATGCCTGGCGAGACTTGTTGTGATTCAAAAACCAAATATTTATTTTCTCACTTTACTATACAAAATAAAATTTAAAAAATATTTTGACTTTTTTAGAGCCATTTTATAAATGATTTATTTAGACTTTTTCAATATTTTTTTTCGTGTTATTCCATAAATACGAATAAATAATTATTAGGTAGTTAGTCAAAAAGCTTCAAAATGTAATTAAAACGACTTTGTAAAGTGAAATATAGTGACTAGATGATCTGATAATCATCTGCATCCACGGCCACTTAGTGTTCTGAAATATTATCAACAACGTATTTATGAGGAAAAACATTTTCATCTGTCACAGCTATTAAGACACAGCACCAGCTGGAAATAAGTAAAGCTCTACGTTTTGCAGTGACACATTGGAGACAACATTTGCACAAACTTCTTCAAAACAAGCAGGAACAAACGTCACATTAAGATTGATATGTATAATAACTATACTTAATCGTTTATATACTAAGCTTTTAATAAATTTGTAATAATTACTGTAACTTAAAACTTTCGTCATAAATAAAAAGAAATCTTTTTTATTATTTCATACATTTATTTATAAATTTAAATATTATTTTTTTATATTTCATTGGTATAATACTTATCAATGGATTGGTATTTATGTATAAAAAGCCATTATATAAACTACAAGTTTTCCGTATAATATTTAGAGTATGAATTCAGTGGTTCGTGACTCTCGAGGTCAAAATGGTTGGCCATGGCTGATCTAGTGGGAATTACCCACTAAAATAATATTGGCCGTTTCCGCCTTAGCCCTTTTCAGCCAAAAACGAAAATGTTACGATTCCCGTTTCCGTCAAAAAAAGTTGGGAAACCAATGGTTTTAATTTTTAAGTTATATATGTCATGGTATATACAAATTATAATTATACAAAATGTAAAAGCAATGGCATTTGTAAATAATAGTAGAGACCATAGAGCATAGGCACAACAATATATTTATGTTTATAAATAATTAATGTCTAGTCAAAATACTTTGAAAATGATAAAATAAACAATTGATATACTTAAAATAGCTTAGCATGAGTCAAAATATTTTGAAAATTTTGTGGTGTATCGAAAATGCTAATATAAACATTCAGTGGAAATTGCATGTGTATACTGTAATATTTTTAGGGTTACACAAAAACCGACTTTTTGTAAGAATTTTTTTTTTGTTTTTCCCGGCACTTTAAAAACTACTGAAAAGTTTAAATTTTTACCTCCTGAATACACCAGTTAGTATCACTTTAATACCGAAAAATATACTTAAGTTTAAAATTGAAGTATTATTTCAACTACTTATTATGTGAACAGGCACAAATAAAATTAAAAATAACACAAATCATTGTAAAATCAATACATTCATCGCACCACTCAAAATCTAAAATTTCCAGTAGGCACCTACTTATACGAATCTTAAATTTCTAAATTACAAAAAAAGGTGTACATGCTCTTCAGTTCAGTTGTTGAGTAGGTAGTCATAGAACACTGCAGACTTGGATAAAATAATTTTTTAAATAATGCAGAGCAGGTACTTAAATAAATATAAAAAATAGTATTCCAAATAAAGTACTTAAAATAGTTTAAAAGTTTTCCAAAATAACAAGGAAAACAATTATTAATGTAAATAAAAAGTATTTTTTTTTTATAGGAATATAACAATAGTTATTCAGAATACTTTTGGGAAAAGTATTTGTAATGTATCCAAATACTCTATTCAGAATAATTTATTCAGAATACTACCCAAGACTCATAGTATTGTTTTGTTAAAATTGAGTTTCGGTGATAAAACGTTAAAGAATAAAACTGTAAAAAAAAAATCAAAAACTTCTCATGGCTATAAATAGCTTAAAATGAGTCAAGATATTTTGAAAATGTTATCGTGTGTACAAAATGGTCATTTGAACATTTGGTGAAAATTTGAAGTATGTTCATATCTTTTTAAATGTTTAAATTTTGTTTTGAGGTAAAATTGTTCCTAAAAGAAGCTGAAGTAAAAAATTGAATCATTTTTATCACTTCAAAAGTTGATGACAGACAGAAAAAAATTACGTATCATTTTACAATCGATACATTGTAGGAATAATACTACTCTCAGAATCTAAAATTGTTTTCGTAAAAACTTAACACTTTTTGCATAAATTATTATTTATAGTATATACGAAAAGTTTTAAAAATATTTAGATTAATTTTCATATATATATATTAATAGAAATTTAGTATAGCATTATTTAGAAATCAGGATATACTTGCACGATGCACCCTCCTGGTAAAATTCCTGGCGGCGCCTATGTACCCATATAGTATAATATGTGTTCTTACATTTATCCGTTTTACATACAACGGAACAACGGAGAGCAAATTTGCTTTCAGCAGCTCCAATTTTGTAACCTTTAATATTAATGTAAATTGGCCAATAATTATCAAACTTTATCATAATAACATTTTCTGTGTTGTCTTGTTAGTCTAATATAATATTAAAATGTTTAAGTCAGTTGTGGTAAGTTTTAAATATTAATATTTTATATACTCATAACTTGGTTAAAAATTAAAATATCTTAAAAGACCAACGAGAAAATACAAATAATATTCTTACCTCCATGTTTGATAATAGGTCAATTCACTCTAATATTTAAACCAAAGACAAAAAATTGAGACTTCTGGAAGTAAATATTGTATGCAATTACGATCTACGACATTACCTATATAGATAGTATATACACTGGATTACGTTAGTAAAACAACATACCTAATATGCAAGTACGATGACCTCTTAATGTAAATTATCCTTGTTCACTTAATATCAGTGCCGGTCAAATGATTATTTCATGTTGGGGGAGGGAGTATGGCTGATTTTTGAATATAAAATATTTTATATAAGAAATTAAAAATACAATTTATTGTTATAAGATCATAAATATTGAAAAAAGGTCAGGGGATCCATCAAGGGCCTCGCACTGTTTGGCCGCCACTGTACCATATTATATAATAAATTTCATATGACATACACTTCGGATACTCATACCTACTATATAAATATATTATAATCTAAATGTAACCATGTATAAGTAAATGCATAAAAATATGTGGTGCATTATATATTTAAATAACGCGTACTATATAGTGAATTACTCGAACCGAAACGTGTAACAATATGTATTACCTATCAAATGTCATCGTCATTCGTAATTGTTACAAAACCGGAATTTTATTATTTTAGGCATTCGCAAGTGCCGTTATTATATAATAAACGTGAGTAAAAAATATGGTTTTAAATTAATTGTTCCGTAGTTTTATTTACATTTTGGTTGACGATTGTTAACTTCTTTGTTAAGCTTCGTCATCCGATATATTGCTTCGACATATTGAGGGATAAATATAGGTACCTATTATTAATATCCTTAAATTAGTTTAGTATATTTATATTAAAAATAAGACTACCGAGCTCGTTGAATACATTTCATATAAGTATAATAGATTACAATATCTGAACAATTGCATGAGTACATATTATGACAATTTATAGCACTGTTATAACGTCCATCTACTCAACATTTGTATGTATAACATGTTGATCACACATTTGTTTAAAAATTGTTTCATTATAATAATTACTCTTAATTGTTTAATGACAAGAGCAATAGTGACGTCGACGTGAAGAAATGAATATTAAACTACTATGTACCTGCCCAATATAAACAAATGAGTCTTTACATAATATATTCTATAAACCAGAATCGTCGGGCGGCAAACGAGTTATCGACCTTGAAGATAAATGCCAGACTGTAATCACGAAGGTAATACGGATATTATTCTTGAAGATATTATTTTGTAATAGGTACCTATAAGTCGTTCATAGCTCCAGTGTTAGCGTATTCTTTCATTGTCATATTTTTACTATTTCTTCATCGCAGTATTGTAAATCTTAAACAGTAGTTTATATTATACAAACAGTGGCGAGGTGTTAGGCCATATCATTTTTGTGTTCTGTACCTATAACTTCGCTTGTTCGTTTGGATTTTGATCATACGTATATAAAGCGCCCAGTATGATTCATCGTGAGTGCGCTACGCATAGGTATCTCTATCTCGAAATCACATCGTGCGAAAAAAACATTTAATTTAATTTTACGATCAACTTTTTATTTATTTTTTTTATGCGTCTCAAAAAATTATAACATCTCATATTTTATATAAATATGTTCGGTTTTGTGAATTTTGTGATCGTGTTAAGTGTGGCGACTTATGCCAAAGTGTTCGCCGCGAAGCAGAGTGCTCCTCACATAGTTTTTATGTTGGCTGATGATCTGGTAAGTGTTTTTATAAAAAAAAGACATTTGTACAAATAATACACATATATAGTCATACAAATTATAGGTATTCTAGTCTTTCAGTGACCTTTAAGTCCGAACAGACAAAAATATTTATCGTAAAAAGCTCAGGTCAGTGAACAAAAAATGTATTCAACATTAGTTTTGCTTGCGTACCTACCTATCTATCCGAATGTACAATATATTTATCGCTAGGACCCGGATTTCTTTGCTTTAAAAACTTCAGAAATATGAACTACAAAATATACATTTTAGCTCTTATTTTGTAGGAATATACAATATAAAGAAAAAATATGCAAAAAAATCGATTAAAAAAAGTCTTATTTTCTTTACTTTTTTATATGTTTACATAAAATTATATTATATTTTTCATTTATTTTTTATACGATTCATTTGTTGTAGTTATTTCCACATATTGTAATTTTAATGAAAAAATAATATTGAAATATATATAAATTAAATCAAATGAAAATAAATTACGGACACTCGGATCACGACAAACACGACTAATGTATGATTCACAACAAGCTACTCAGTAACAGATTACTACTTGTTCCGATAGGTCTCAGATAAGATATGAAAACGACTTCGTCAAATTACATGCACAATAAATTAAGGTATCTATAAATACGTTGTTTTTATTTAAATAAGCAAAATTTCACATATTATACCGCGTTACCTATACAACAAAAAATCGTAAAATACAGAAATATGCAGTACATGTCAAAAATTTACAAAATATGCAAAAATATGAAAAATAAAATTTTCTTTTACTGATCTATTGACTATAATTTAAACTTGTAGCTTACCTAGATTTTTTTTTGGACAGTTAAAAAAAAACATGTAAATGCATATAAATCCAGGCCCTATTTATCACTTTAATTCAAACTAAATTATCTTAGATTCTGAACGATGCGATAAATGAATTGATTTTACAATAATATGTGCCTTTTAAAGTTTATTTTCAGTACCGTCGATATCTTATCGAAAAAATTATGGAAAATATTTGTCATTTTTACTCAAATTAGTTTTCTAAACAATTTCAAAAAATAATAACCCCAAATATTTTCAACGAATGTTTAAATAATTATTTTCTATACACCATAACATTTTTAAAATATGTTGACTCTTTTTGAGCTATTTATATTTTTTAGGCATATGCAATTTTCGATTATTGTCGTTGCAAAATACAAATTTAATACAAGGATTCCTATAAGTTGTTGTTAAAAGAGATTAAAAAACAGTTGAGCGTTTTATTAACATCCATAAATTTTTTTCATGAGCATTTGAAGTTCAAATTTTTTTAACATTGGATGTTCACATGTCAATTTTAACGAATTCTCATCGAACGATTTTCTTATTTTGTTGTTATTCAAAAACGAATAACCGTAGATACTTGATATTTTCACTAAATATAAATGCTTATTTTATCATTTTCTACACACATACAAATCCGAATTTGTAAGTTCTGAACTTTTTTTGTGTTATATTATGTCAAATTATAAAAAAATGATAATTTTTCTATAATATGTCTATAACGATTTATTTTCACTAAAAATATTTAGTTTATCATAATATATTAATTGCATGCCTTTTATTATAAGTGTATCTATCTAGTATCTATATTGAAGTACTGAACTGCTTATAATACCTTGTATATTAAACTATAATATAGTACAAGGTATGTACCTATAAATAATTATTGCACTACAATGTGGTAGGATTGTAGGAATTTAATGTGTAGTAAAATAATGTATAGATACTATACATATAGTAGTTTATAGTTTTATACTATAGGTGAATTTCTTAAACTATCGTGTTGCGTTTTCTTAAATATAAAAAGGTGAAAATGCGAGACCACGTTACGTTTTTTTCAGATAAAAGGGTAAAAAGTGCTATACACATTTATTTATGTTAGAACTGTAAATTTCATATACACTTTATAGGGTTGGAACGACGTCAGCTTTCATGGTTCAAACCAAATAAACACTCCCAACATCGATGCACTGGCATATGACGGAATAATCCTAAACAATCATTACAGCGAATCTTTGTGTACACCGTCTCGGTCGGCATTGCTTACTGGAAAATATCCTATTCATACCGGTTTGTTATTGATTATCATTATTATTACCTATTATTGTTATTGTTATTGTTATTACTATCATACAATTATTACAGGACCTCTGATACATCTGTATATAATATATTTTAATAATTATTGTGACACTGTTGATAGTGTGCCTATTTATGTAGGTATATTGTACTGTAGTAGTGTAGTGACATAGTCTTAGTCCTTATGGGTGCACATATATCTATATATTAATGAATTGACAGAGTATAGACGTCGTCATGTAGCTTTATTATAATACTACAACTAACAATAATTTTATACAGTTCACAAACATAAAATATAATATGTTAGGTAGGTACCAAAATATTTTATTTTTTTATTAAGTGTTATTAATTATTAACTATAAACGATTTCATTATTCTAATGTTACGAATTACAATATAAATTACAAGTCACAATCTAGACCATTTACTGGTATTATAGTCACTATATCTATATACCTATATAAATTAATATAGGTATTATAGCAGGTGTAGGTATGAGAAAAAAACATGAAATGAACTATTCTTATATTGATAGGTATTCCATACTAATTTTAATAATTTAAAATTATACATGCAAACTATTTAAAACCTTATATATACTAGTTGAAATAGCAATGTTATACAGTTATATGCATAATATAGTACCTATATCTATTAAAATTATTACCTAATAATAACCTTAATAATAACTTAAGTTGGCCGGTTGTGAGTGTTATTAGCAATAACTAATAACATAAATATTAGTATAGTTGTATTAGTATAATAGTAGGTGTATTAAATATTAATGTAAAAATGTAAATTTACATACTTTTTTAAAAAAATTTTCTTTAATTTATAATGTGTTATTTGTTAATGTGGAAATAAATATAAAATCAATTTTTCTGTTTGTAGTATTTGTATGTTGGGCCGTTGGGGTATTAGGAATACTGTATTTTAACTTTTAAGATTAATTAACGAGTAGGTCTAAGATCTGATTTTTGATTTTTAAAATGACTAAAGTAGAGTGTTTTTTTACACATTTTCACGGAACTCACGTTAAATAACTTAACAATAATTGTCAACATGTATTCATAAAATATTGTTATGCGCCCAACCGTGTTACATTCTTGAAGGCCACAATAATAATTTATAAACATTAACCAGTGAGTTTAAACAATTAACATCAAAAATGAATAAATCTACCAATTGTATAAACGGTATAAAAAGGTATTAAATTTAATAAATATAATATACATTAGTGTATTCATTTATTCTTGCTATGGATATGATGTTTTTTTCATTATCTAGTGATTCACTTGTGAATATTGTGTTTGCGTATAAACAAGATTTTTCTTAGAAGTACTTTAAGTCTTTAAAACTTAAATTAGATAGGTACATATATAATACTGGTTACTTTATAAAACTGTTAAATCATTTTGTGTTATCGAAAGAACTGTTAAGAGGATGCCAGTTTCACGTGTGTCTCTTAGTCTTAAAATCACATAGATATACACGTAGCGTATTCATTATCATTGGTATTTACGATATTCGATTCTGATTTGATAAATGTATTGATTTTATAATTATGTGTTTTTAATTCAATTTTTTTTGAGTCATTGTACTCGATAAGTAGTCGAATTAATGTATCTTTTCCGATGGAAAAGTGAACCTAGTTGGTTAATTCGGGAGTTCAAAATTTTAAATTCCCAGTTGTTTTCAAAAGTGCAGTCAAAAACAAAACACAAATTAAGGAAAAACGGGGATTTCGACAAATTAAATTTTGGTTTTTGGTGTAGCTCTAAAAAAAATTACCGTAGATACATGCAATTTTCACTACTAACATTTTCGTCACACCATGAAGTGTTCAAAATATTCTGACTCACATTGAGTTATTTTTAGGCCTATGCAATTTTGGATTTGTATTAGTTTTTTGAAAATTAATGACGACAAATATTGTAAGCAGAAATTAAAAAGACGTCGAGCATAAATCCACAATATTCTTTTATAAACATCTGAAGTAAGAATTTTGACGAGATTGGTAAAAATCACGAACATTTGAAAAAATATTTTGAGTTAGAAATTCATACATTATTTCTTGTTATATCTAAGATTTTAAAATTGAATACAAGATTCCTCATAAGTTTGTCTACCTTTATCAAAAAAAAAATGACTACCGGAATGTCAAATCAAATTTTTATGAGTGTTTGAGATTACATTTTTCGACATTGGATTTCTCATGAAATTCTCTTGATTTTTTTATAACCACAGATACTTGAAATTTACACCAAATGTTTATGCTACTATTTTCTGTTCTTGATAAAATACAGAAAAGTTTGAAAATTGTATACAAGATTCCTGTATATTTTTACAATAGCAGCTGAAAACAATTAAATTAAATTATTTATTTATTTATTTAAATATTACATTTAGATATGTACTCAAGTTCAAATGTGACAAAATTGGTCAAATTAAAAATTTACAAATTAATTTGTAGTTAAATGTATAAAATGTCCATCTTTTATAGCTTAGTATTGAAAATTTAAAACTAGGTTAAATGTAACGGTAGTTAATTCTGTAACCAAAAAATCTAGAAAATTATAAAAAAAAATATAAATACAGTTTATAGTAGTTATTAGATTTAAATTTGGACCACATTTCATATAAATAACCAAGAATAACAATTTTATTTATTTTGTTCTTATTACTTAAAACGTCTAAAGTATATTATTATATACAAATATTAAAATATGCAAATATGAAATAATATTAATTCAACTTACTGGCTACCGTATAAATAATAACAATTTAAATGTAATATAAAATACCCCAGGTCGACAAATTGTTTCCGCTGAGAAACTTTTTTCCGAATCCAAAAATATTATATTTATCATTGAATTCTAATTTAACATTATAATTGGATTAAATCATTGAGGTGCTTAGGGTACTTAGCACCCTGAATTCTAATGCTGTAGCACTCCGAATCTGATTATTATCTCAAATAATAATTAAAAATATTGGGGTGACTGAAGATAGACTATCCCGATTGTCCGCGGACAATAGGCAATTCAGTAGGCACATGGATATATGGGTAGGTTAATTAATGTCCACTAAAATGATATATTTCTAGTATAATTACAGTGAAACTTCCTTATAAAAACATCCTATCAACAAAATGTATTTCATTTAATTTTAAGAAGTTCCCTATAATACAATACCTAAATATAGTCTCAAAGCAATTTAAACATCATTTAAATGTATAAATATTTTTATTTTTATTTTGAAAGTCAAATAATCATAAAAATATATTAAACCGATATGTCAAATCATCAAAAACAATATCCTCTATATCATTTTTGTAATAGGTGATTTGACTCTAAGATTACTCAAAAATCGAAATAAATGATTTTAAGTGGAGCATTTTATATATGTTGTCCATGAGTCTGAGAGAGTAAAAAAATATTGCGTTGAAATCCTTTTAATTCATAATCATAACAATGCAGAAGTGCTGATAGCATGATGCCATGATGTGTAACAGCTAACAAGTGAAAACAATGCCTTACACAGTAGACATTGACCGACTCCCTTAAGCTATAAATCAATATCAGTTTTAGTAACCATGGAAACTGTTAGGAGAATTTTGATCGGGAGTTTATTTAATATTCAGTATTGACATCGTATCGAAACTAAAAGTTGAAGGAAGAATATAATTTCTAAGTATAGTAATGCACAATGTACAATATAATGTTGGGAAACTACTTTTTGAAAAATTGATTATGTAGGTACATATAATTTAATTTAAAATAAAATTTATGGTTATAAATGATAATCTGTACTCATTAAGATCAATATATGTTTTTAATTAGACAAATACTGGCAATGCAAAATTTATTTTTTACGAAACGAGTGTATCCATAATTGATAAAATTTACTTTGAAAGTTCAATAAACAATAATTGTCACCTGTGTTAAATTTTTAATTGATCGTTTTATCCTAATAAAAAATGTGATAGTATTTATTCAGAACAAAAAAGACATAATATTTATTTCACATATTATTATACATACTCATTTATTTGTGTATATATTTTGATTGTAATTTTTTTTTTTATGAATGCTTCAAATACATTGTTTATTAGCCTGCAATGTGATTGTAATTTAATAAGATATATTTTATACAATTATATATGCTGGTTTTATTTTTTAACCTTGATAATTTTTAGGAACCACAACAAATAGTAAATATAATTATTTTTATTGAGTTGCTTACTCCTGGAATTTTTTTAAATTTCATATGTGGGTAGGTTACTTTAGATATTATTCCAACTACTATATATTTAAAACAAAATCTAGAGCGATTATATTCACTTATTTCTATAAGAACATAAAAATTATAATAATGAAAAAAAAATGATGTCATTGTAAACTGTAGAGACCCGATAAAAATCGTTTTTGTTTCATCATCGTTATTTTCAAGTTCACATTAGTTACTGCTACGCAGTTTAATCGAGGTTGGTAAAGCCAACGAGTGACCATCAACGTCCAGTGTCATTATACAAGAAAATATGACTGATTATCTTATTATTATTTTTTTACATAATTAATCAATATCACTGTAATTAGTCAAACAATCAAATATTTCTATATTTTCTAACGATAGCACGGAATACTCAAAGACCCTGAATTATAGTAATTATATATATAAATGGATAGGTACTGACGTACTGAACATGAATCACATATTTTGCTGAGCCAGGTCTCCACTGATTTAACTAAAATATTATAAGCGAAATCGCGGTTGAGTTTTAATTATATTAATTAGGACTAGTACCTTAAAAAATATGAACAAAAACCTATTTTATTTAATTAAAGAAACTGGCGTTATTTCATACGCAAATTATTGTATACCTGGATGTCAATCTGTATTCGGTACATGTATGTACGAGTATTATAATACTTATTTCTAGAGGTCTAGATCAAGGACTTTCATACATAATATGCAAATTTCTTCTGGGTAATTTTATTGTAAGATTAGTTAGTACAATGAAAATAATTCACAACGTTTGTGATCAAATACTCAAAACTGTAAATTAATATTATTATACTGAAATGAATGGGTTTAGAGGTAGGTTGGTAATATTTTTGATTAAAATGTTTATCGAAAATCTAGCTCTTTGAAAGTATTTTTGGTGAATCAATGTCAAATATTATTTGTACATTTACTGTAAATTTGTGAACTTGTCATAAAGACGACAGTCTAATTTTCATTTTAACGGTCAGTGGGTAGTTAAGATTATAAATTATAATATAGTGCAACTTAATGTTAATCAAATCATTTATTATTTACGTCTATTTTCGTTTAATATTATATGGATTGCGGATAGAAGGTACCTAATCTAACCTGACGATGATACAAGATATATATAATATCTCCATACATAGTAATTCTAAATTTATTGATGCAAAAGTGCATATTTTATGATTTTTAATGCATTAAACCAAAGTTCTCGCTTTACTTTATTACTTATTGTAAATAACACAAATTAAAAAATAGTCAAATAACTATTAATTTAATACAGAGCACATTGTATTTTAAAGTTTGATTTCTTTAAACTTTAAACATTTTAAATGTAGGTAGGAACAACATTATTTTATGCTATAATTACCTATTAATATTCTTAAAAATTAATAATTTACTAAAATGACTTAAGTACTTTACAATTCGCAATTATAGGTACCTACCTCGCACTTTACCTTTATGATATTTACGATATTAACGTTCATGATTAATACATCTACTGTTCTCTAAAAAAACAATACTGGCTTATTTGAGTATATTTTGATAACATTTTATAAAATAAGTTTTGATTTATTTAAAAATAGTAAGATCTATTAGTTACATAAATGTTTTTGTAATTTTTCAGGGACTCAACATAATGTGATACTAGAGCCTGAACCATGGGGGTTACCATTGAATGAAATATTACTGCCAGAACATTTAAATAAATTAGGCTATGCTTCTCATGCTGTGGGTAAATGGCATTTGGGTTACTTCAAGAAAGCATACACACCAACATATAGGGGTTTCAAAAGCTTTTATGGTTTCTGGAATGGATATCAAGATTATTATACACATATGGTCCAAGCAACTGTAAGTATAGTGTATACCTATGATACTATGATATATCATAGGAAGGTAATAACAAATTAAATATTGTTTTTAAAATTTTTCATTAAAATATAAGATACAAACATATTTATTTAAATCACACAAAATATAACATGTCCAATGCAAATACATATAAGAAGCCTGTAAACATTAAAAACATTTAGGTAGAATATTCAACTAATCATTTTTGTTACCAAGTGAAATTAGTCAATTGAAATAATATAATAAAATACCTATCCAGTATCCACCATAATAATATAATTATTATTTTATTATATTATTCAATTGAAATAATATAATAAAATACATATCTAGTATCCACCACAATAATTATATTCCTTTAATTCTTTATTTTGAATTTTAAGCACTAACAAATAAGTTTTTATATTAAAGGTTTCATAACAATATGGGCAAATTTAAAAAAAGCCAAACATTTTTTTTTTTTCTTTTTGTTTTTTTTTTATTTTTTTATTTTTTATTAATTTTTTTTTTTTTTTTCTTTTAAATTTTTTAAAAATGCAATTATTATAAAATAACAAAAAATAAAAAATACTTTCAAATTTTTGCCAAATAATAATGGATGTATTAAATTTTGGATTCAATGCTATAAAATCATTGTAAGCATACTGATTGAATTCTGTCTGACTGTCAGCTACTATTCGTGATATAGTAAGTGCCAGGTGTCTACTGTCTAGGTTGAATTAATTTTTGCCAAAAAAATTGCATTTGAAAAGTCATTGTGTATAAAATATAATATTATACTTCAAAAATTGGATAAGTGGGTAACTCAGCTCCTCAATAGGTATCCAGAGAGTGCGGAAGCAATGAGAAAGCAGCTCCCGCGACGTCGTTCGGTTTCAAACTGTAAAAAAAGGTGTCTAGAGAGTTACTACTGCACTGGATTTATTAAATTTAAATTCGGTGATACAAAAATATTGTATTTATTTTATTTAGTCATTGGTACAAAGATTAATTCAATTTTTCCGAAAAAATTACATTTGAAAATTGTATTGTGTGTATAAGTACAATAATATAATTTAAAAGTTTCAAGTACAACAGTTTAATATTTTTCAATAACAACACAATAAATAAAACCGTTATTCTTAGTTATTTAATGTTTAATTTTGTCCAAATATGAATGTAATAAATATTTTTAAAAATCTGTGTTTATACATTATTTAGATTTTTTTGGTTACATAGTGAATAATTTACGTGGAAACTTGTTTTTAATTTTCAATCCTTAGATTTAAAAGTTGAACATTTTATACATTTTTAACTAGAAAATATTAATTTACTTGTAACTGCAGTTGAGCCGTAATAATTTTAAACTGGTAAATTTATTAAAAGAAAAAAAAACTACAAAATAATTTGTAAATTTTCAATTTGATAAATTTTATCGAAATTTGAACTTCAAATGCTTATATAAATATAATATTTCGTGTATGTAATTTAATATTTTTCAACTGCTATTGTAACAATATATTAGGAGCCTATTGTATTCAAATTTCAAGCTTTTTGACACAGCGAAAAAAATATTATTGACATTCATGGTAAAAATACTAAAAAAACTGAAAATTTATAATGTTTATAAACAACTCAAAACTTATCAACATTTTTTGAAAAATTTCAAGTATTAGAAATGGTAAAATAAACATTTTGTGTAAATTTCAAGTATCTACAATTGTTCGTTTTTTAATTAAAAACAAAATAAAAAAATCGTCGTATGAGAAATCCAATGACCAATTTTAAAAATGTGCTTGATTGTATATCAATGTATCATAAAATTCAAATTTAACCCTTCCGTTACACAACCCCTCTAGACACTAACTGTAACTTCAGCAGAGTGTTACCCACTAGTCTGTTTTTTTGTTATGTAAAATATTTGAAGAATAAATGATATTATAAAATAAATTATGTAGACAGTAATAAAAATATATTTATAGAACATGAGACTCAGTGGGTCCTTAACTATTGATTATGATTTTTGTTAGCATATTTAACTCGAGTTGTATTTTTATGTATATTTATTATTTTTTGTATTATAGTTTGCATCTTTTGAAGGGTTTGATATGAGACGCGATTTAAATCCTGACTGGTCAAGTGTTGGGAAATATTCAACACATTTATTCACCAAGGAAGCCACTGATATCATATCGAAACATAATAATTCTGTGCCCTTGTTTTTGTACCTAGCCCATTTAGCTCCACACGCAGGCACTTACGAAAATCCATTACAAGCACCCCAAGAAGATATAAATAAGTTTCAGTCGATCAAAGACAAGAACCGCCGTAAATATGCTGGTATGACCTAATTAACTATACTACTAGGCACTTATGAAGTTTAAAATGTGTCAAACAGCTTAAACAATATAAATTATACATCCATGCAAGGTATCTTGGTAGTGGTGAAATAAGATACCTACACAATGTTTAGTACTTTAATAGGTGGGGAATCATTAAACCGGATGCAAATATTTTGTTAGCCTAGTGCTATATAGACGTAATGACAAATAATTTAAGTTCACAATTTGGGCTTTTTATTTAAGGAAGTTTCTTATTAAACTTTTATTTTTTTTTTAATGTTGAGTTGTCAATAACTGTCAAATTCAATGGCAGTTTGCCAACTTAATCATTTAATGCAGGAGTAATTAAATACCTAGCAATAAACATAACTAAATATAAAGTATTAAAGTTATTTAGCTATGATTATAAGTTATAACTTATAAATTGCAATTAGATATAATAAATGTAGCCTTTGTCTACTATGTATATAAGTAGTATATTACGTATTAACTAGGTAACTACTCACATCTAATTATATTTTTGGTTGACCCTCCAAGTATTTTGTTTGTAGGTAATTGATTTGTTTAATATAATTATTATATCGTTAAATTGTATGTCTTAATATAATAATAATATGTCCTCTAGGAATGATGAAAAACCTTGATGATTCGGTAGCTGAAGTGTTTAATGCATTACATGCAAACAATATGCTTGATAATACAATTTTTGTATTTGTGTCGGACAATGGAGCTCCAACTAATGGTATCCACAGAAATCATGGTTCCAATTGGCCGTTAAAAGGAGTAAGTTTTGATAATGTTAAATAGTATCAATATGTTTTTACAACGTATAGTATTTTATAATTGTATGACATATATATATATATATATATCGATATAAAATAACTTGTCCTGACTGACTGACTGATTCATCATCGCCTAGCCCGAACCGATGAAGCTATGAGCATAGCTGTGTCTATTTCGTACCCCCCCCCCCTCCTTGGCACGACTTTGGCAATGAGTTTGAAATTTCGTCAGTAGTTTTGTTTTATTTTGTAAAGACCCACTAAAATAACATTTTCTCAAATTGCAAAAAGGTGGTAGAAATGGAAAATGTCGTTTCTTAGTCAGATTTTTTGAAAGAAGGTAAAAAGGGCAAAAACATTATATTTAGTGAAATTTTCCGCTGCTGCTTTCGTGCCAGATTTTATATTACCATAACGTAAAAGGTTACAACCTTATAGGTATCTTTATAGAAAAGTACCCAGAATCAACTATTTTTTATAAATCAAGATGATCTAATAAATAATAGTTATTAATATTATACTAATAATTTTAATGATTTAAAGGAAATATCTACCTTCAATATAAAAACTGATGCAAAGAAGTTATAACATAAAAAATTGCGAAAGGGCGAAGCCGGGTTATTTAGCTATAGTAAGATATAGGTATACCTACAATACGTTCAATGCCTACACCTTACACCTTAGTAATATTAATATATATTTTATACTTGGTAATTTATAATATTATAGATAAATTCTATAATTTAAATTTAATAGTCATTATTCATAACAATGGGTTAGGAAATGTTTACCAATTATTATTCTTTAATGAAAAACTCCAGAATAAAACAACGTTATTGAGAATTATTTTCTAAAATAAAAATTGAATAAATTATTGACATAATGATAATTATTCAAAGTACATTATGTACTTAAATCAAAATATATTAATTTGATATTACTTATTAGTTATTATAGTTTACCCGTATTAGGTGTACATGTAGGTATATAGATAAGTACCTACATGGATACGTGCATCGGTGCATCAGGTCCACCGCTAGGGCACAAGCAAGTCATATGTTATTGCTTTTGGGTGGCATACAATTTTTTATGAAATTGAAGAAGAAAAAATAAAATAAATATAGGTAAAAAGAGGGACATTAAAATTTTAGCATAAGGGTGAAAAATATTTAACGACGGGCTTGACATGAATAGAACCACCCAATGTAGTTAAGTATGAACAATCAGATAACATAGGTGATATTGGGTTTATTATAGAGTCTAAGAATAGTATTGGATTAAATGATTAGTAAAAAATACTGACTGTAATTCATTTTTATTAAAGGAAAAAGCTACACCCTGGGAAGGTGGCATTCGAACTGCAGCATTCGTATGGAGTAAATTATTAGCAAAAAAGAAAACACTCCCAAATCAACTAATGCATATTTCTGATTGGTTACCTACATTATACCAGGCAGCAGGTAAATATTATATTATATTTTTTATTATTTATTAATATATTGATTATTATTTTATTTTTAAGAAAAAGACAAGTAATAAATAACGACCAGTTTCACTGTGTATTTGTGTCTATATAGTTACATTTCCTAATTTCCTTTATCAACTTTGGATAAAGCTAATATAGGTATTTACATAATTCTTCTCTAGTTACAAAAATCGATGAAAGATTAATACCTATTGAATATGCATATGCATTGCAACGAGTTAAGGTGTTTTAAAATTATTTAAAATAAAACAGTACATTAATATAGGTAGGTACTCGTACTTTAATATATAGCAACAACCAAATTCAAAAATCAAATAAATAATAAGTATATATGAATAGTAGAGTGGTTCTCAACCTGTTAGGATTCCTATGTTACCATATCCACAAGAATCCAACACTATGTCTCCCGGACATTAAAATATTAATAATTTAAGCTGTATATTTTAGAAGAAAAATATAAGCCCTTTAGCCTTATGTTGTTTAGTGTAAACAATTATTATGTTGTTCTGACGGTGGTGGCAATTACACGACGGCAGCTGCATTGATACTATTTTATTTGAAAAATTCTTATATTTTTATTCTTGTCTGAAGAATTTTGAGGATTTTGTGTCACCCCTACACTCAATCCATGTCACTCCGGTTGAAAACCACTGGAATAGTCAAGCAAACGAATAAAAATCTGTTAAAAAACAATAGTTCCCCGATGAAGATTAAACAGTAGCTCTCCCACTAATCCGGACTGACACCTAAGTCTAATTAATATCAATTATTTAAAATTAAAATTAAAATATCTTATAGAAGTAGCTAACATGCAATCGCTTATTGGAGATCAGGAAATTAAAAAATTCTTAACAATACAAAATTTAAAATGAAAAAGTATGAATGAAAATCAGCTGAAACCTATACTTACTTTATACCCTTAAAAATGTCAAAACGGTGAACTGTATTGTAATGTAATAAACAAAAATAATAGAATAAAATATATTTTTAAAAGTTTCAGTGAACTGTTAACCTAAAGGTTACATTATATAATAATCCTATAATTTATAATTGTTATGAAATATAAATAATGGATCAATTTGTTTTACACAAGTACCTATTATGATTGTAATATGTATAAATATTGTATCACGCTATTACTGTATTATATTTAATATTATGGAAATGAGATTTGAAAATGTAATAGTGTTACTTAGGTAACTTACTTAGGTACCCACCTAAATTTAGAATTTGGGTTTTACATTTCTATCATAACTACTTATTAGCCAACTTAACTTATAGACGCATATTATTTATGCTCTATATCACTGTATAGTGATTATCCCAGCTGGCAGCTAGGTACATATTTAGACTTTTGCGCCGGGCAATATCTTAATAAATCGCTTTTGTATACTTTGTTCTTGATGACTAAGTACGAAATTGAATATTGTCATTGTATATATTAAATAAATAGATAAAACGGTTTTAGATACGTAGTCAAATAGTATACCTACAAAGTGCAATAAACTTCGTCGTACTTACGACCAATTATATAAATTTATACATTATTTATTTTATTTTTTTGTGTCTTATAAGTTTGTACCTAAATAAAATATTTTGCAGGTGGTAATACTCAAGATCTAGGAGCGATTGACGGTATTAGTATGTGGGAATCATTTTCAAATAATAAAAAATCTCCAAGAAAACAAGTATTGCATAATATCGATGACATTACTGGTTACGCGGCAATCAGAGATACTAACTTCAAATACATAAAAGGTAAGTCTAAAATTATGTAAGAATAGTTATAACTTATAATAATATTATATAAGATAGGTGAAGAAGCTCATAATAACCTAAACAGTAACACATTTCGTATTTTCGTCAGTTACGTTTTATTATTTTGAACATACTACACAGTCATATTATATTATATTTTAATGTCAATAATATAGGTACCTATGTTTACTAATATTTTGAGCACACAATCTTAATCACTTCTTAATTTTATTCATATGTCATGTGCTCCACACATGACACATCCTATCAGTAATTATTCAACTTTCAGATATTAATTAAAAAAAAAAAAATATATAGGTACTCACTTAGTCCAAAATTCAATAAAAAAAACTATAATACACCTATATAATATTGCATGCACATTACACATGGATTGCCAATTAATATAATATGCGTGCAATGTGTGCCTATTACATTATTGTATTGTTAAATTAATAGAAATAACAAGCAAATACATTTAATGTCTTATATCATTAAAAACATATATAATATAGACTTCAATATGATTTTTATGTAATTGCATTTTGGTATTTGTTTTGTTTGTAACATAGATGCATTACTCCTTCTAATTTTATTTTATTTACACTTAAGTTGTGGTAATATAATTTATTTTGGTTGGGTTCTGTTTATGTATATTATATACCAGTTCTGTGTTAAACACTTAAACAGAAGGTTTTAATATAACTATAATAATAACCACAATTAGAACTTTAATAATGTATCTACAATAAAAACGAAAAAATAAAATTTTTTTAAAGACTCAATGCAGATATTGGACTCAAACAGTAGAAATAGGCACACACTATAAAAAGTTAATTATTTATAATTAATTCTTTGATGAAATTGAGAATACGACGGGCACATATAAAAGATAGGTAGTATTTCATCGTTTTTGTATTGATTATTTCATAATATATTATACATATATATATTTGCTATATTCTTTATCAACTAAGTAATGTAACTTGCTGTATGTCTGTATATATATATTCGGTAACTTTTGCTCATCTTAAGCGTAATTAATAAATAAATAAATCAGTGGCGTAGCCAGGATTTTTTTTCGGGGGGGGCTGANATAGACCAGGGGTGGCCAACTTTGATAGACCTGCGATCGACCTCCGATTTTTTCTAGGTGGTCGCGATCGACCAAAAAAAAAAAAAAGGTTGTCGAAGGTTCAATTTATCAGTTTATACAAACGCGATGAAGGCCATTAATAGGAAGTAATGCGAGCTATCCATCCTATAATACGATAGTTAATAGATATCAGTGTATAATCTTGTTTTTCATAGTTATTTATTGTCTTTTTCTAAATCTTGCAGCCCCCTCAGCCTCTCCCCTGGCTACGCCACTGAAATAAATACAATATATAATATGCTATAGCCTATAACATAGGTAATAAAGTACCTACTTACACTTTATAAAACTTAATGAGATATTTAATAATAATGTGCTTCTCCACCTATTATTTTTGTGTGTGTACCTACTATTTCTAAATTAAATTAATTTACATTATTGTTATACATGTATGCGTAGTATTCAAATTAAAAAAGACATATATTCCATATAGTGCTTAATAATAATAACCCGTCATTGTTCTAGGAAGTACATTCTTAGGTTATCTTGATTATTGGTCAGGATCGTTGTCCCCGAGTGCACAACTTTATAATATTGATGCTGTATTGAACAGCACTACGGCCGGCATACTTTCACAGATAAACGGGGATCGTTTAACGCCATCTTTGATTGAATCACTCCGCAATAATTCGACTGTACGGTGCGATTTCGAGAAAGACACGAGACCATGCAAGCCGTTTATTAAACCATGTTTATTTCACATTGTCAAAGATCCTTGTGAACTGGTTAATTTGAACTACAAACCAAACAGCAAAATGAGAAAGTTTGTAGAAGCGAAAATTGACTATTTCGAGACATCTTTGAGAAAATTTAGAGAATCTGCATCGAAGCCTATGAACGTGAGAGGTACCAAAGATGCAAATCCTGCTTTGTACAACAATACGTGGATCAATTGGGATGATTATCAACATAGTATTTGAATAATTGATTCAACATGTTCGCGTTTAAATTATATTTGAATTCAAAATTGAAAAATTGTCAGACTTTAATTTAATTATATTTTATTTATATTATTCTTATAAGTTATACAAATCAAACATCAATAAACATATCTATACCTAATAAATATCAAAATATATATATTGAGTATTTGCTTATGGCTATCTAGTATCTATTTAGGTATTAGTATACAAAACATATATATATATATACGCTCAAACTTTAAAACAACTTTCACTAAAGTAAATTATATAGTTAGGTACACCATAAGCATAAGAATTAAAAATTATGTTCTTTTTATTAGTCCTAAGAAAAATTTATTACATAAATTGTATTGTTTATTTAATTGTTTAAGTATATTTATAGCATAAATTATATAGTGGTGTGTTAAGGTGAAATTGGGCATTGTTATTTATTAGAATAAACTAAATTACAAAACTACAAGTTATAAAAGTAAATATTATGTATACTCTGAGACGAGTGAGGCCACTAACCCCCTACGGCTCCATATTATCTTGACAATATATCTATTATTTTTTTAATCCAGATTTTTAATTTTTACATATTTTTTGACAAGTACGAATTATAACAGAGGTGCTCAACATTTTACTTCAGCAGGCCATTATAGTGAAATATTGCTTTTGTGCGTACCACCAATAATTGAAATAAAAATGTTGGTATTTAAATTTAAATATCTATGCAATAATTGTTTTGTTTTCATATAAAAATTGGCCTTAAAATCATTGACTTACAACATGATATTATTTCGTTAACTTTTATAGTTGGTCGTCTCGGTACAGTGGATAAACAATTTAATTCTTACATTTTATAGTTTCAACTAAGGGAAAAAGGATATTGTTTATAGATTATTGTCAATCTATATCAAAACTGTCATGCCTATCGCTTGTGTTGTAGTTTGTACTGTTCAATTAAATTAAATAGGCAATGAAGAAAAATCTACAGTATAGACCAGTATCACTTACGTATTTAAGAAGGACTTCAAAACGTTTTTATAACGTTAAACACTTCAAAAAAACGATTGAAATCGATAACGGATAACAAAGTAGAAACGATAGACGATTATAATTAATATCTAGATTAACAAGTTATAACATAAAACGATAACTAAAAAACTTTCCTCAATTTTTCTAATATTAAAACTTATGGTTTTTTTCTAAAGGAATAAAAAAAATGAATGCCCAAATTATAAAAACAAATATACAATGGTTAAATTCAAATATTGAATTAACATTAAATTCTAAATATTAAGTAATTTTGCATATCAATAACTACCAAACGCCAAAGAGTAAAAACTACTTTAAAAAACATTCAGTTTCAAGTGTTTCACTAATTCAAATAACGTTTAAACGTAAAACGCTAAATTGTTAATAACGCTAAACGCTTCGCGACGTTTAAATTTTTAAAAGTTTAAATACATGAGTTGAATAACGTTAAAAATGTTTAAATGTTTAAGCGCATAAATCGAATGACGTTTAAATTTTTTAAAACGTCAAACAAACATTTCACTATTTTTTTAGATGAAATTTTTAGTGCACTAATCAATTGTATTTTTGATCTAATATTTTATGCATTATAATTAATTACTCTAATCTGTAAAATATACATTATTATTGAATTTATCATAATATTTTCCGGTAATAAATAGAATAGAAAGATAAATTTTAAATAAACAATTTACTTTTTTTAAAAATCAGTGCAGGAGTAATAAAATAAGATACCGGCTGTCAAGTCTGAGATTTAGACCAATGATTATTTGAACGGTCAGTTTGAATTGTCAGTTAAATAACTATGTAGATATCTATACTAGCCACTAGGTAAATTAGGATTTTGAATTTCCCGGAATAATAATATAATACCTAATTAACAGTGATTAGTTCTAAATAATTGACAAGTTGGATTAAATTTGTCAATGCTAATTTGTTTTTAGTTATTACTGTATAATAATATAGTGTCCGACACAACTAGTCGTAATAACTCGTAGTAATTAGGAAAAATGATAAAGTATACATATTAATAGCTCATATTATTTTAAATTTATATTCTCTGCTCACGATACTGAAATGTGGTACCTATTTCATATTTGTAATTTTATTTCAATACAATTATGTTTTCGATACTAAAAGTTATAGTTATTTAATTATTTTAAATTAAATTAAATTATTTTATTTTATTTTATTTATTTAGCTTAAATAATGAAATGTCGATACTATTATAAACTCATAAGTTATTAACCTTTTTTTAACATTTAATATTATATTATTGGTCATAAAAGTTACTGTTTTATAATTTTATTTTAATACAACTAAAATGGTGTAAGTTATAATTGTCTTGATATTATTTCAAGTCTACTAGTGATTATTGATTAGTAAATAATAACATTCAGATTTTTCTTGATATTTTTAATATTTTGTATCCAGGAGAAAAAGTCATGTAATCGTCAAAAATACGTGTATGAGTGGTAAACTAAAACCTTAGTAGCTGCAGCAAACCGGTTTTAAGAACCAACGCCAAATCCAAAGGCTTTTACTTTGGTTTTTAAAACCGGTGAAAATAAAAGTATTTAAATTCAATGATATAAAACCAATGTATATAAAAAATGATTCTGACAATCTGTCAGCCTATAATATTACTAAGTAGGTATATTTTAAGATATTATTGTGATTGAATGGTCTAAGTTATAACTTAAATTACTAATATAATTTATAAACTTGAATATTGCATATAGAATTATGGCTTATACCTACCTACTAAGTAATATTTTAGGCTGACAAACCGTCGAAATCATTTTTTATATACACTTCATCATACCCACTTACCTAGTATTCATGAAGAAAAGTTATTATAATGTGAAAGTGAAAGTTTATAATAATTGTTTGTATAATACTAGCTGTCCCATCACGGCGTTGTCCGTGTATTATATAGCTATAAAAACCCCTTTTACCCCCATAGAGGTCGAATTTTAAAACATCCTTTCCTGCATTGCTTAAGGAACCTCTATACGAAATGTCAAGTCTCTAGACCCAGAGGTTTGGTCTGGGCGTTGATGAGTGAGCAGGGGTTGTCTCCTGAATGTATATAGATATCTTAGATTTTATTAGTTCCATTGAAAAATAATTCGTTAAGTACCTATAACTGTATTTAAATAAATAAATACTTTTTTTTGTGTAATTAGCTGATTGGTACCCGGATAGGCTTCGCCCGTGTGTAGCTTTTACTTTCTCAGAATGAAATTTCTTAAATCAACACACATTGTTGTGTTTTAAAGAAGAAACAGTTGTATTTTACTTAATGCTATGAAGTGCTAAATAATATTAGTAGCTGAATTATAAATAAAACAAAAATAGTAATAATAATAATATTTACAAATGATTCTAATGATTCTATAAGCAATACTTAAATTGTTATTAAAAAATTATTCTATAGTTATAATAATAATTTGAATAAATACGTTTATCACACATTTATAAAAAAAGTATTATTATTTTTCGATAACGAAATTTGTATAATTGAGCTATTCGGTGTTTTTCATACAACTCTTAACTTAATATAAATGTTATGTTAGTTTGTAGTTTATAATTTCGGCAAGTATTCGGCTACGTCATAAATATAGCGGTTGCAGCCGTTGCTATGTGCGATCGTCAGTAGACAAATTAACTGTCGTATTGTAGTGTCGAAACAAAGATCTATTATATCTTTTCTAGTTGATCCCTTGCACTTCGTTGTTCTTTAAAAATGTCAACCCTATATGAGACTCGTTTGTGATAATGTTAGCAGTATATTATCAGGTAGGCTATCTGCTATTTACTAGTGGTGGATTGCGGACCCCGCTAGGTGCACACTCGATATGAATAATATGTTTAATTTTAATTTTATTAATTATTTTGATTGTATATGCGGCTATACATGTAACTCAGCTGGCAGCCACCTTGTTAGGCAATGTGCTATTTGATGTATTCTTGAACCTAATCTGCCGATTAACCAATGGAAACCAAAAAATTTTAAAAAATACCAAGTTCTACAAACAAATTAAGAACGTTTAACGGAAAATTAGTTATTATTTAGAATGAGAGTGCAAATTGTGTACCTATACACATATTGTGTGGCACAGCGGCCCGTGGGTGACTTAATTTTGTTTAAAATTTTAAGCATGATTGCCAACCTGATGAACAAACACTTATCAAAAAAATCACTATACAATTTTTCATTAATCTTCCGATTGATTCCACTGTGAAATGAGCACTAAGAAATTATATATTAACTGTTTTATATCATAGATAGAAGATAGATGGATCTGTTTTAAATAATAAGTGATACCTCGACTAAGGGAAATATTGATTTATTTTTATATACATTGAGAGATATAGATAGATTGTAGGATTTTACTTCTCGGAACAATTCATATCTACTCGCCGATCAAACACATAGTTGGATGGACAAAAAGTTATGGTTGCATGTTACTATGAAAATCCACAGGTCGCCGTGCTGTAAAATATGTATATAGGTATACAATTTGTACGTAAAGAATTTATTTTTGCCGATTTCAACCCTTTAAAATAAAAATTTTGAAAATTTCTTTCTTAGTGAACTTGACATTATAATATTAATCCATCCTCAAAATTTAAATTCGATAACTCAAATAGGTTCGGCTCTGTGTTGATTATTGCTAAAGTAACTTTCTTTTATATATATAGAGATATTAATTAAAACAAAGTACTTATGTAACCTGATTTTGTTTTTTTTTTGTAATAAATATTTCTAGTGAGAATATGTTAGATTAATAGTCTATACTTTAATGCAACAGATTGTCTTTCTTCAGGTGGAATGGGTATGCTCAAAATAAAGTCTTCTTTTAAGTATGGTCCGGTAAATAATGGCTTATTGAACAATCAAGATAGTTTAATAATAGCTGATTTTACGTTAACTAATTAAAATAACTTCTTGCAATTAGGTAGGTAAACATATATTTTAAAATGAAGGTCGAGTATACATTTATTTAGAAAAAAATCGTAGAAAAACAAGTTCTGTATATAATATATTTAATTAAAATCACTGACTATTAACTCATGAGATAATATTAAAATAATTCTGTTGGGTATGCCCTTAAAGTTAAAAATTTAATCTGAAACTACCCTTCTTATAGTCTCTTCACACTTAGAGGACGTACCCATTAACGTCTGGCCAACAAAGTTACAACAATTCCATCTGATTTGTACAAATTGTGTAACAATTACTGATGGGGTTTTTGAGTTGAATTTCCATAATCCGGGTTCCAGCGTAACGTACCTCACATACTACTTAGAATAATATAATATACTATAGCTGATCTCGTGAACTTTGTTGCTCGTTAAAAATGCGAAATCTATATGAGATTTGCTTGTTATAATGCGAGCCGTATATTATCAGGTATTGTATTTTATTATATATATTTTTTTTTTCATTGAACTTAAGCCCGGCGACTAAGGCCATTAGCTGTTGTAGGGGTTATGAACTGTGGTAGGGGTAAGGTTGGTACTGTAGTAGTGGCGTAGCCAGGGGGAGGCTGAGGGGGCTGCAGCCCCCCCAAAATGTTAATAAAATTTAAAAATTATTTTAATGGTCTATGGTATTCGATCAAAAACTAAACCACCGCTGTGTAAAAAATTGATCAGCCCAACCCTCCCCCCCCCGAAAAAAATCCTGGCTACGCCACAGTACTGTAGGTTGTTTTTACCATTGTTTTGGGTTATTACGGTAGGTAGCAAACACGTGCATGTGTGGCAAGGTTTTTAACTACTATATGAACCCGGGTGGTCACCCATCCGGGAGCTAGTAGCTGTGACCGTTACTTACTTAGCGTAGCAGCCAACGCGCCACGCCAAGCCACATTATATTATATTATTACTATCGGGAATCGCTCTAGGAGTATATTTTTTATTTTAACTGTTGATACGCTGATGAGCAGCTTTAAGTGGAACTCAACCATCTTCACACGATATAATATGTATCCAACTATATAAATGTGAAAATGTGAAATGCATCTGTGGTTGTCGAGTTTAATTGTTATTTTTTTTCAGCCAGCTATTACTTTGTACTATAAAAGGTATACCTATGTATACAATTTACACGTTTATTTTAATTATAGATTAATAGATAACTCAATTGTTTATTAACTTAGACAAATGCTATTGTGATATACTCTTCGTTTAAAAAAAACATCAAGGAGATCTGATAAGTAGTCCCAGTGTTTACCCTGTACAAACATTTTCATTTCACATTAATATAGTTAGATATTAATATAACAAAATTCCTACAATTGGCGATTTGCACACATAATATAATAATATAAAAAAATAGCACTGTCCACGCGACACCATCCCACCCAGGTTACGTTAGACAAACATGTGCTTTGCGAGGAGTGCAGGATTGCAGACCCGGCGAAGTGCGTACGTAATTACGAATGTATTATTGACATGTTGAGTGTCACAGTACATTATTATGATAAACGATGATGTGCATGTGCAAGGACGTACCTAAGAGGTTTTTATTGATTGACCAACTCTAAAAATTGATAGGGGTCAACTTGTTTTTGTTATTTTGTTGGAGCCATCATAAGTACCTATGTTGATGCATCCTGACCGAGCCCGGCCCATTTCGAAATATTAGAAAAATTTCGAACCAATATTTAGTATGAATTTGCATGGCCAAATTGTTTTTTTGAAAGATTTTGATTTAATCCCTGAACCCGAAATTTTAAGCGCCAGGCAGTCGCAATGTACGTAATTTCATCATTAGGTTATTAAAATATTTTTAATGTCCTTACTAAACAAATTAATAACAAATTCAAGATATAATACTAATTATGAAAAAAATACTTATCATCATTAATAAGGTACAAAAAAGGAGGACAGGTGAGTAGGTATTGGTCTCCGATACGCAGTAGGTGTAAATGAGTCACTATAATATAATGATGTCTAAATGGGGTCGGGATCGACTGGTCGATTTTTGAAGAAATACTAGGTGATCTTGTTAAAAATTAATTATGCTAATATCCGTTGATCATTTTTACAGTCAAAAAGTTTAAGACACACTTTTACGCTTTATATTTAAACAAACTAAAGTATTTATTACAGAAGAAAAGCACAATTTTCAGAAATAATAAAATAATAGTATTGTACTGCATGTAATAGTATAAATATTAAACAATATTCAATTGGAAATTATAAATGGTAATATGGTATTAACCTTCTAAGTAAGTAAGTACAGATTTTAATTTTATTATTTATGTTTTGTTTAACAAGATTTTATAATTTTTAATAGATCATTTATATTTTGTACTTACAATTTAGATAGATACTGACGATGCCGAAAATTCAAATAGTATTAATAATTATTTAAACATTTTTTTTGTAATATAGAGATCATTTTTTTTATCATCATCAATAATTGATTAATTTACATACCTCACAGGTAGTAATCGAAGACACTGGGCATCAAAAGAAATGCTTTATTTACTAATTTATATATTATATCTTAATTTGTTTCATAGATGTATCATTTAATAAAGTTGAATTTGAATCATTAAAAAAAATTTTTTTAATGGTAACAATAAAAGTGTTATGGTCGCATGATAAATAAAACATATTAATATTCTATGTTTAGAGAATACATTAATATCCATACATAAATATTTATGCATTTGGTAGATATATAAAAAAATTAAACTGTTTAAATTCATCGATTAACTAATTAAAACAAGTTATTGGTGTACTTGCACAAATGTGTACATGATTATTAGCAAATACAATTTAATTTTAAACTAATAACATTTACTTACGTATGTAATAATTAAAAAATAGAAGCCTATGTACTCGTATAATTACATAACATAGTATCATCGACAATACAAAATAATTACCTCAAAGGTATATAATATGTATAGTAAATAAATAAATAATAATACATGAAGTAGTAGGAAAAATTAACTAGGAACGATAACATTATAATTATTAAGTCGACAAAATAATAGTGGTTTTCTTTTAAGTTTTATTGTAGTAGTTCCGAGACCGAGTTCGACTCGATTATTTTAACTTTCAACATCAACTTTTACTTTAACTTTTTGTGTTTTTAGTTGTTTATTTACTTATAATTTATAAGTACCTATCTTATAATGATGTATATACATGTGTGATATCACGCCACCACAGTCAATGGGTTATCTCGTCACCAAATTTAAATCATAAATACTTACCTACGACTTACCTATGTTGTATGCTGATATTACGAAAAGTCTTGCCACTATGCATTAATAAATTCATTAATTAATACTTAATTATACTATATTATAATCAATGGTTTCAATGGTTTAACCTTGATAATTAGATTTCATTTAGAACATTCATTTTCATTACCTAAAAAATAATGTTTTCCAAAATTTTTTTTTTATATTGAAAATTAAAAACGTTTATAAAGACGTGTTAATTAAAAACAATAAAAACAAAAATTAAACTTATAATAGTTTCATAATTCTTGTCACATAATATTAATCCTTTAACGTAGATCGTACATAAAAAATATGTTGTTATATTTTTTCTTTCCCAAAACTCAAAAGTGTTGCTTTACGGGACTTAGTTCATATTATGCACAATTCATTGGCGTAACTAGGAGAGGAGGGCTTGGGTGTGATTCAGTCCCCCAGAATTGTTGAGTAATTGCAAGTGCTTATACACATATTAGTATAAACTTTACTGTGGATGGACCGTGAGGGTAATAAAATGTACTTGATTTAAATTGAGAAACATAACAAAGTTATTGCACAGTTTTTAGCATTGTTGTACATCAATGTTTAATGATACATCGTGGGGATGTTCTCTTAGCAGCGAAGCAGCCGTGGTGAATAGTCCGTCTGTCTGCGATCCGACAAAGTCGAATTGCCTACATAGGTAGCGAACTTAAATGTTTATCGATTTTCACATGAGGTGACTGACTTACTAGACATTCGAACACGGATTTCGAACATACATTTTTTTTAAATACAAAAAAGCAAAGGACATGCGACGGGGAACCGTATTATTCAATTGCCGATTTTCAGGGGTGATGTGAGATTTTTAGACACTGGAACTGAAATTTTAAACATTCCCGCGTTCGAAACGAGACCCCAAGCTTTATCAAAAATCCTTATCACCTTCTAAATTTTTGTTTTTTAACCATCCATGACGTCGACATGAGGGACTTTTATAAGTCATTTCAACGACATTATCGTATCAATCACCGAGTCTCACAACAGCGAGTTTTCGATGGCAGCTAGTAATATTATACAATTATGATGTAGTCACAAACTCACAACCAAAATTGAAGATAACAAATTATACTAGCTATTTTTGTAGCTCATACCACAGAACATTCAAAACGTTAAATAATTACTTATAAAGTTATAAAATATATTCTAATAATTGTGTAATTAATACAAAATTGAATATCACATTCATACAACCCTGTCACTAAATTAAAAAAGTTTAAATTATTCCGACGCGGTCTCACATGGTTCACCAAGTTCTGCCAGTTGGCCATAGTGAAAAACGTGATAGATACTATTACTGTTATCATCAGTGACGCTGTAAACGGATTAAAGCAATAAACAAAAATTCTTAACATTTTTCTTTTCTGTTCTGATTATTTTAAGACCGTACTCTCGAAGTTGTATTTAGTACGATTTATGAATAAAAACGATTAACGAAAACGACCGCAATAACTTAGTTATTCAATTAATATCATATAAGTAAAAGTCCTGAAAAGTCTTTGTTAGTGGCGTACCTCACAGTTATGCCGAAATATTATTGTGATTATTGTGATACGTATCTGACGCACGATTCGCCGTCTGTGAGGAAGACCCACTGCCAGGGCCGAAAGCACAAGGATAACGTCAAGTTTTATTATCAGAAGTGGATGGAAGAACAGGCACAGAACCTGATCGATGCTACGACGGCTGCATTTAGAGCTGGAAAGATCGGTATGAAGGGAGTATGTATACCGCCACCAAACATGGGCCAATCGGGGCCACAAATGTCTATTGCACCAGGTTCGATCATGCCACCCGGGCAGATGCCCATGGCCGCACCTCCAATGATGTCCATGACACCAATGATGCGACCACCCATGGGACAGATGCCGATGGGTGCGCCACCACAAATGATGCCTCCGATGCCACAAAATATGAGACCACCTATGATGAGAAATCCACCTCCCAATGTCCAAGCTCAATAAAATAAGTATGCTTTTGCGTTTGATCATTCTCAACAAAACTGATACTCTTTAAGTCTTATGAATTTTATTCCAAACTGTTCTTATGTACATGTCTTGAATAAATATCTAGTATAAATAAAACAAATGTCTGATGTTTTATTTAGCAATTATTTCAGTATTGAGTTTTCTCTTATCATGAATATTTTAATTTTTAAACTTAAGTATATTATGTATACCTATTTCTAATTATTATTTTCAAAACAAAGCTTCCACTTGCTGAGGACTAAATATTTTAGACTTCAAAGCTCACAAAGAATGTGCTTTACAATAAGTAAAATATGTTAAGATACCAAAATATCAAAAGGTTTTAAAGAGCTGTAGAAAAATATTTATAAGTGCTCATTTTAAGTTGTTCACTAATATTGTTTCAACAAAATTACTTATTCATTTAGTGCAACATATTATACTTAATTAAATATTATTGAATATGCTTACCACAAAATAGATATTTATATTTGTAAATTTAAATATTGTAGAATCCACTTAATTGAGACATATGGGATGGCAAATCCATTTGTTCCCATTATCTGCCTTAATTAATTGAATATATTCTTTTGGGACTTAACCAATTGGTTCTCTTTATGTGGTCTCCCAATTAAACGGATTCTACTGTATATTACCTAAAAATTTAAAATATGTATTTTATACAACAAAAATAAAAAAAAACCTAGGTATTGTTATGGTTTAAACATTTTTATCATTAAAAGTTATCAATTCACCTATTATAACCCCATATGAAATGTACGATTTGTAATTTTGATTACATAATACATTTAAATAAATTACTGGAATAACAGAATTGGGGAAGTACTAGTTGTAATACACATTAACTATACATCTGCTAGGTAGGTACATGACAAATTAATTTAGTAGGTCTCTAGGTTTCTAGCTTGGTCTATTTAAGATGTGTTTGTGGTTATCAATTATCGTACAGGAAGTTAGTTGATTAATTTGAAGGTCACAATCAATAACTCAAATTAATGGCAATGATCAATTTATTTCAGGTACACAAATTTGTTGGTTCAAATTAAAAGATTGTCATTAAATTTTAAATTACATATACTTTCAACAATACCTTCATAATAAAAGGTTCAGTAGGACCTATTCAATATTAATTATATTTATACTAAAATAAATACTAATAATATTTAGTGTAGATTATGTACTACAACTAGTACTAAATAAAATTGTATAGTACCTACTAGTCACTAGGTACCTATATCTTAAGTCAATACTATTTATTTTAAATTTTAATATTATAGATATAAATACTTATAATATTTCTGATTATGCAGCTTATACAGGGCGATGCATACTTAACATATTATGAGACACTAAGACAGTAATACACTCATAATTTCAAAAAGTAATAAAGTTGTAAAGTTTAAATGCGCAGAGAAGTTAACCAATATTTTGGTAGGTAACCAAGTAATGTTTTTGTTTTATATTATTATTTATCACTGTGGATACATGATGGAAATAGTATGCGACTATGCAAGTATTTCATGATTAACACTGTTTATTCAAGCTTCTTACAATAAAAGTGTCAAACAAATTTCTTGATTATAACTTTTAAGTTACTTATTTATGATAATAAAAATTAATTACTTGTAATTTTCATTGGATTTCAAAAACAAAAATGTCCATACTGTTTTTGATTCCTTTTCTATTTTTCAATCACTGTCGATTTTATTATAATACTGAGTTTATTATAGAATATCCCCACAGATAAAATTATATTAGTGATTTACAACTGTAGAGTAACAAATACATTTTAACCATAATCAGTTTTGTATTTGTAAGAAATAATTGAGTTTTTACAAAATGTATAATATAAGTAATCATTTACATGCTATTACATAATATTTAAATTTTTTCATTTACAAATGATAAGTATTATACTTTATTGATACCTGGATATAGTTTAACAACAGATTTTATAATAATATTCATATTATCATAGTATCATCACATAATATTGTTCGATAATTTATATTGTTATATATTATTATACATTTTATATGGAGTTTGCGCATTACCAATGTGAGTTGTCAGCCCACAATAAAATAATATTCAACCTCTCTGTGGTTTATTTTTGTACTACAGAATAATAGTATATAAATAGTAATATTAGTGAAAAATTTATTGGTGCAATATCATTAGTGTTTATTCAGTAATAATATGATCTTAATTATGTAAAGTTAACATGGGGGATTTAGATATTTTTGTATTGTATCTATAAAATACACTATAGTTAAATAAGTACATAAATGTGGTTTGCCAGTTTTGACACCCAAATCCTCACCTTGATTATTTCAATGGTATTCATTTTACAAAAAACTTAATTATTTATTTATTTATTATCCAATGCAAGTGTGGCATCACATGTAATATATAATATATAACTTGTTTTACTTCTTTATACTGTAGTATTATTATTTTTATTTGATACAATGTTTAGTAATTAGTATTTTTAGCATAGCAATTTAATAAACTGTAGCTAATACTAGTAATATATGCCTATTAATTAATCGGGAGTAGGTTTTTTTTTAAAAAAAAAAAACAAAATATTACATGAATAAAAAATTATAAAACCAAATTTATTCACAAAAAAATTTTTTATGATAGTAAATAAAAATCGCTTTTACAATACAACCACAAATCACCATTCCCCATAAATGAACTAAAGTAAATATCAGATGAGTACGATATCATACACTCATACAAATACTTATACACTTTAATATTAATTAACAATCACAAGAATAATTAAGAAAAATTATTACCTTAACTAACAATAAACATTTAATGTAAATTATATAAGCTGAGTAATAATTACAATATAGCATTATACACATGTAACAAAAAAATTACAATTGTATACAAAAACAATTAATGATGCATGTACTGTTGAGTTTCGATAACTCGAATCTCAAAGGGGATAAAAATAAATTTGATTTGTTAACTTTTTTTAGTTAAAAAAAAACTCTAGTTATTGAAGTGTTATTGAAGCTTGAGTTACCGTGACTCACCGTGACTTACCGTGACTGTAGTAGAAATACAATACCTATTATAAGTATTAATATTATGAAACACAATAAGTAAGTCTTTGTGTTACATACAATTCACATAATGCTCTTATCGACAATTTGTAGAATAAAAATTACACTTGATTTTTTTTTCATATTACAAAAATACCATATTTTGCAAATAATTGACATTTTTCTTATTATTAAAATATACATAACATGTTAATTGTTATTGATCACTTAATGTTTTATAATATGCTACAAATAGTTTTAAACATTATTTATTTGTATTTTAATATTATTATTTGTATTGATTTTTGTATGTAGTTAACATAACACTTAAATGATATAACATACATATGAATATATGATAGGATATTAATTACATTAGCAACAAACTTTAAAGAAAAAAATAATAAACAACAATATTATAAAAGATATAATTTTCAAAAAAAATATCTTATAATATGTATTACATTTTACAGAGATTTTTATATTTATTTCATTAAGTGGTTGATTACAAAAAATATATTTATAATAATAATAGTACACAATGGTAAATGGGATTGGGTCTTACAATAGTAAATAATGATTGAAATATTAAAATGCTTATTTAACCAGTGTATTAAATGAATAAAAAAGTGTTCATTCTGAACTTAGGTCGTCAACGATATTTATGTGGAAATATGATTGGAAGCTAAATTAAAAAAAAAAAAAAATCAAAGCTTAAATTAATATTTATGTTGGTATAGGTAAGTATAGTATAGTAAACTTATACTAACATGATCCGTGCAAAATTGTATGTACTCATTTGCACGCTCAGCATTGATAGGGAACAGAGAAAACATATAGCTATACATATTGTTTATGCGATCAAACAACATCAGGATCAATAATTTTATATGTTTATTGTTCTGGTCTGGTCCCCTTACCTTTTAATAAAGAATATAAATTATAATTACATGGGAAATTATAAAAATGGCAGCCTTACCTCCGTTATTTCAAGGCATTTATCAAATATGCCCATTTCGACTTTGATTTGGCGATACAGCTGATCATCGGTAGTGTTACCGATCAAGAGTGATAAGTCTAAGAACTCACGGTCGTCGTTTAACTTTCTAAAATTGCATAAAACACGTTTATTAAGCTTTATAGAGGGTCTCATACTTATATGAGTAAATTGAACTTACTTGGCTTGCTCCATTGTCATCATGCCTTTGGTAAGATAAAATCTAGTTTCGGCGTTTATGCTCATGATCTTGGCAGTAGCAAAACGTTTTTTACGGCTTTATAGACTACTCCAAATCACGTTTCCGCGAATGGTTTGAACATAAATTATCTTATTATTATTGCAGAGTTCAAACGACCACGGGGCACGGACGAGATCAAAATTTAAAATGACGTCTAACTACGAGTCGATGAGACAATATTATATAATAATATTTTTATGATTTCGTGATATTATCGTTGTGGCCGTGATGTTACCTGTTGATGACGAGCACGAACGCACACCGCACAGCTATAGACAGTGACTGTTAATGTTTACATAATATATGTCCGTAGCAAGATTAAAGATAGTACTATCTGATTCGTAGTTACGGTGGCGTCGGTAGCGACGCCAGTGTTACAAAAATGAAAAAACGGATTGTTAACAATGAATTGACAACACTGCAACCACAAATTGACGAGCCTCGCCGCTAGACGCCACTCGTCCCCAAGTACCCACTGTCTACTACCCACTAGTACCAGATACTCTAGGGTCTATATCAGTGGTTTTCAAACTGGGTGCCGCGGCACACTTGTATGCCGCGAATATCCACTAAGTGTGCCGCGATTTTCTCATAAATTATCGATTGCATAGAATTTTTCATCTAAAAAAAAGGTCAGTGAGCCGTGAAAATTTTTTAGGGAGTACGGTGTGCCGTGTATAATAAAAGTTTGAAAACCACTGGTCTATATCATAGTATTTACTAGTAGGTACCCATTCGTCAGTGACCCGTTTTGGTGTTGAATATCATTTTAATAATATGAGAAATCGGCCAATGCATACAATTATTTCTTACGTTATAAAATGTTTACGGGTATCGGGGTAGAAGGGTACCTTGGTGTAAATAGATTATTATTGTAAATAGAATAGAGACGACTACACCAGCTGATTCGGTTTTTGTTTACCTGTGAACTTATTCTTAACAACGATATACGATACTAGTTGTATATTATTTTAGTACTGGGAACTGGCAATTATTTCAGCCAAAATGTACCAATCTTTTGTTGATCATACCGATGGATCTGATAAGACTTGTAGAAACTGATTTGAATTCGTTTATATGTCTACATGACATCGATCAGGCCACTTTTTTAAAAAATGTTTTTCCTTAACTCTTATACATTTAGTTTGAACATTTAAAATATTGATTATTTGAAAATTAAATGAAATATCTTATAATGTGGCCAGATCGATATCAAATTGACATATTAACGAAATCAAATCAGTTCTTAGAAATCTAAACGCGTAATCAGATCCGTATGTAGGATTCACAAAAAGTACACTCAAAATATGAGCATTCATTGATTTCATCGTTTCCGTTCACGCGCGGAACGCCGATACGGCGTGACTTGTATATCTGCGTTAGGGAGTGCTCCGCTATTTCTTTTACACACAGTCAACACACTAATGATCACGTAATACAAACACATTTACAAGACCTACATGAATGCAATTTTAGAATTGCCTTTATTGAACTCCTTGAAAACTGTATATTTGTAATCTCCTCAAATCGGGGTTTGAACCTCCAAGAATGGAAATGAGCCTGGCCATCAATCTGTGGTTATACATCTGTGAACTAGAGTAAGCGAACCCTTATACGATCAATATTATTGACCTAAAAAATAGACCGTCATTAAATATCAAAACAGTTTAGATATTTTCAATACTATTGAAGTATATTCAATATAACCAATACATGGTCAATAATATTGTCGATATCGAATATTGATCGTATAGGGTGATCTTTACCGTAACTTAACTGCTTGGGGTTCAAGGCCACAATTGCCTAATTTGGCAAAATCACACAGTGACACACTGCCATACTAGGTATGACACCATGTTAAAGGTGCGGCGGAAAATGCTGGCCACCGGGTATTGTTAATTTTCTAGCTCTAATGTTTCCAAAAATATTTACATGAACATCAAGAACAGAATTCAAAAGTTATAGAGGTTTCGAAACTTATTGAAATCTTAAAGAATAAATTGTAACTCAACGTCGTGATGTGTATTTTAGCCTATTTATACCGGCACACCGATCCTCAACCGATGTTCGTGCTTCCTTCGAAGTTATGATCGAGAGCCTAGGCTGTAAGTGTCATATATTATTTTTTTACTAAGCTATGTGTAATAAATCTTCTTTGTCACCTGTCATTCGAGTATTCCTTCCAAAAATACTAAAATCCTACAAATAATCAGCTGGTCCCAGATTTATATACATTTGCATGTTTTTTTTCCAAACTGTCTAAAAAAACCTAGGTAAGCTTCAAGTTTGAATATTATCGTCAACATAGTAATAGAAAATTTTATTTTGAATATTTTTGCATATTTTGTAATTTTTTGACATGTTGCATATTTCTGTATTTTACTGTTTTATCGCATATTATATGCAGTTTTTAAATGCATAATATTATGTAATATTTTGTATATTTTAATTAAAATAGCGTAGATACATTATAGATACCTACATTTATTGTCTATGTAATTTGACGAAGTTGTTTTCTTATCTTATCTGAGACCTATTGGGACAAGTAGTAATCTTTTATTGAGTAGGTTTTTGTGAATCATAAACTAGTCATGTATGTAGTATAATTTATTTTTATTTGATTTAATTTATATGTATTTCAGTATTAATTTTTCATTGGAATTATAATATGTTGAAAGAACTACAAAAAATGAATCGTATAAAAAATTTAATTAAAAAAATATAATTTAATTGTATGTACACATGTAGAAAAGTGAAGAAAATAAGACCTTTTTTGCAAAATTGTATTTTATAGGGTATAGGTATTCCTACAAAATAAGCACAAATGCATATTTTATAGTGCATATTTCTGAGGTTTTTAGAGCAAATAAATCTGGGCCTTAAATTAATCAGTATTTTATTGTAGTTGGAATACAAAATAGTATGTTGTGTTTGAACATGGGCTCCCATTGGGGGGGGGGCAAGACAGGGCACCCCACCCCCTCGGAAAAAAAATATTATGAACTTGTAGCTCAATAAATATTACCACAATATTAACTTATTACCGAATTTTTTTATTTTGACCCCCCACCCTAAAATGTTACCTATGGGCGCCCATGCGTTTGAATACTTCATGATTTAAGGTGTTGACATGATATTCATATCATACGAGTATAATATAGATGTGTTATGGTTTATAATACATTTTAATGTACATCATAAAGACAATTTTATAAAATACAATATGTTCTTCTTCTTTTAGAATTTAATAATATTTTATTTTAATTTATTTGTAATTTAATATTTAATTTTTTTTTTATTTAATATATTTACGTAAGTAGGTACATTCATATTTTATCTAAACATTTACAATTTTTTTTTCTTATTTATTTATTTTGTATACAGCATCGATAATTTAGGATAATTAAGAAATTATAAGGATGTAATTTTCAATGCTTTGTCGTACACTCTTGAAACTGGCCTATAGCTGCGCTTGCTTTCCTTACGTTACTCAAACAGTTAACAGCAGCCATGGCCGTTTTAGGATTATCCGAGTGAATACATTGTTTCAAAAACTAAATGATTTTATGAACATTTTTAAATAAGTATATACCACATTATTCTAAAAAAAATGTAAACATACCGGAAGAAATCCTAACGCTTCAATCCTTACACAATTTAATGGGTCTTCGGATAATCCGCTAAGCGCAAGAGGAACATTGTCTCTGACGATTTTGTGCTCAGAATGCGTGTACTTAATTAATTTATCTATAATGTGTTTACAGCTGAATCTACGCGCAGTCACACCAACAGTGCAGCATTTACCCAAAGCTTGACAGAGATTGGCTCTCAATTCGGTGTGCTCCTGTAACAGATAAAAATACAAATAGGTAGGTACCTATAGATTTTTCTGTGAGTAGGAGGTACACATATGTTTATTTATTACTTACCTGTACCTACTTATTTAATATATTGTCTTATTATGTGTGGGTAGATATAATATTAATAATCACTCAAGAATAAATAGTATAAAATGCAAACTTACCGTAGATACGAGTTTTGCCAAATTTTCAACAATTCCTGCGTCGACCATTATTTTTGAATTTTCCTCGAATGAAGCGATTACTACGATCAGATGACATACTGCTGCTAAAAAATCCAAATTCTTGTGCGTCAATAAATCTACCAGGTCACAGATTGCCTCGTACATTCCCTTGAGAGGGTTCAGGCTGAACTAAACAAAAGCACACGACGAAAAATTGTTTTTTTAAAAACAAATAAAAACAATTAGCACATCATGGATCTAATATAATATAGCCCACAAAATGCATACCACATCTTTAATAATAATATTATAATAGGTATGTGTACTTGTGTGTTTTCGACTATCATGGCCAGGCATTCAGCAGCGGCGATGATCGTTTGTGGTTCGTAGAAATCTTCGTACTTGTCGAATTCGTCCACGTCTAAGGACGGTAATAGAACGAAAATCAACCGAAATCCCTTAGCTTCATCTATCATTTCCATGCATTGAGGGTCGCTAGACGCTCGGCCTATAGCGGTGCACACGTGTGCCAACACCAAGCTGTGCAGGCTAGTATTGAGCAGTTCTAGATACTTAGGCACGGCTGATTGTCTGAGTTTTCCACGCAATGATTCAGATTTCCACAGTTCAGACAGCGTGGCGACTGCGTAACCGATCACCCGGTCGTCAAATTTGTATGACGTCAACAATTCCAGCAGGAAATCTACGATGCGGTCTTTCTCGATCACTTGTCTGCATTTAGTGTTCAATGAGCTTTTCCACAGTACGGTGATGATCAACACCATGACGTGGTCGTCGTTCCTGCAGAACGCAATGGAATAATTAATTAAAATAGTCTCTATGTTGATGGTTGAATTTCAGGCATGTACCAGCACTAAAGATATTAGGTGCTTATATAACAGGGGTATGCTTCATAATTTTCATGAAATTTGAAAAAAAAAATTCAAATGAAATTTTCAATTTTTTTTCTTCAGGAGTTAGGTACACGGTGTACCACAACAACATTTTTAAGTAATAAAATGTATTAAAATTAAACAGTTAACATTTTTATTTTATGAGTAAGTCGGTAAGTGTTTTGTGAATAAATGAATAATTAACAAATGGCCCATATAATTGAAAAAAACCACAAAATCCATAAAAAAAAAAATGTTCTTGAAAATGTACAGTTTTACTATACTCTTTATAATATTCTTTCTTATATTATCATAATTCATGATTAATTTTGAATTAATCAAACAGCCGCGCAGAAATGTTTAAACACTTATAT